TTTGAGGGGCTTTGCTCATTTTTTTCCAAACACATTTTGTTGAACAGGAATGCTGTCACTTCCTCCTCTCAGACCGTTTGCGGATAAAGTACATCGTTAATCAAATTGTATTATTCCGTACAGGACTAATCTATTTACATGTTTCACTGGGGTTACGTCCCCTATACAAACGGTATTTTGATTCTCTACATCTGTTGCCTTGGACGAAATCGACATCTCTACAATTCTCAAAAATAACTAAAGATCTACTTTTGTGTTTAAAAAAAATTACCACAAATACATTAACAATGCTTTTAAAAATGTTTTGAATCTGTGTTGGTTCTAATCGAATCTCATTAATACTATCTCATTATAGCTTTTTGCATTTGTCACATTCACCCTATGTTTGAAACAAAGTGAATTTAGACAAGTATCTATAAAACTGTGCATAAACTGTAATGAACTTTATCTAACCTTTGAAGTAAATACTTTATAGACAAAATATGAAGGAAAGGTCCTTTTAAAAACACCGTTTGATATTAGCCTTGGCTAAAAATAATCTCATTTTGGAAAGCATCTATGGTTGATGCCATTTATCAATTCCTAGTTATTTACTCTAATGTGACTCATAAAAGCTCGGTTGCAGCTTTGAGCAAAAAAGGCATATTCCTTGTTTAGTAACTACTGTCACTTTTATATCTCTAACATTATTCTGATTCTAATATTTATCTGCTCTAGTAGAGATAACAATGTATGGTACTATTTTAATCTTATGTTGAAATGTGTTTATGAACAACTAAGGAAGGACAATTCTACTTTTTTTTACTATTATTAAAACCTACAATACTCCATACTTTATCATTTTTAAAACATTTTAACTGTTTCTTATCAGTCTCCCAACTAAAAATCCCTTTCTGTCCTGCCAACCCAGGAACCCTTAACATTTATTGCATTTGGTCACAGTTGTTGTGGTTCAATTGTAACAATTGCATTGGCAATGTACGATTTTTCATTGCTTGGTTCTTGTTTCTGCGAATACAACTATTCTAATGTATTGTATTTCAGACAATTCCAAAAAACAACACAGTCGTTCTCCAATATTAAGACATACATCAAAATCAGTTGCCCGAAAGGGATTTTAACTATTTTTAAAAAACGATTCTCATAACGATTATACAGGCTATGCAATTTAATTATTTAATAACAAAAGCACATTCATGGCTTCTGTCCGCTGCTTATAACTGTTTAAAGAGTTGTCCCAAACTAAATATGTTAAATACATCTGGCGGTTGTAATAAACCATAACTTTTTAACCTGATCTCACCAATGAGCAGCTCAGAGGCTGCATCAAGACAATGTGTATATTAGCTATTTTCTAGATGTTCAAATTGTGTTAAAGCCTGTCGTTCCTATGTCTGCATTTTAAATACTACACTCTAATAAACACATCTGGCCACTAGTTCCGTACAGATGTGGAAAACCAGAAACATCTTAAAATCTGACTCCATTTGAATTTTCCTTTTTACTTTAAGGTTATTAGAACAATTTAAACCTATTGATACTTATTTCCACAATAGAACTATTATTGATTATGTCCCACGCCCGTTGGACCCCCATCCTGCATGAGGATCGCTTGAGGGGGCTGGTGCTCCTGTGTACTGGGTGCAGCTCTGACAGCCACCCCCCCCCCGACCCAGAAATATGGATTAAGGGGAAGAAAATGGATTGGATGGATGGATGATTATTCACTACTCCTATAACTTATTATTACTATTGGTTTTTATTCTGACACCAACCTTCTTAGCGACCTTTTTTTTCCCCTAAAGCCCTTGAATCCAATGCATTATAGCTCCAGACTTATTTCATTCTATTCGATTATTATTATTATATGATCTAATTAATCTTAAAGATTATATCTGCTTGATGTTATAACGCTATTAATTTCTTCTCCTTTTGAATTTGCACACACTAAATTTGAATGACCCCCTATGGGACAAATATAGAATTTTATTCCCATTTTGGCAACGTCCGAAAATTACTTAATAATTTTCCCATCTTTAGCATTTTTAGGCTGCCCTTTTTCTATTATTTATATTTGTTCTTCGTAAATATATGTTATACCACTTCTTTTAATGAAGGTTAGAAGGTAAGGAACCATGACCACCTATGACCTACAATACACCCCCCTCTCTTTGTCATGAGGAGCCAAGATATAACACCTGCATCTGTGTTGTGTGTAGATTACTGTTCCAACACCTCCAATGCTTTTCTCCCGAATCGTCCTCATTCATATTTGTGGGCTTTGGCGCCAAGTAGAAGGCTCATTTCCTCATCGATCCATACTAACTGTCATACCCTGAAGCAGGGGTACGTTTATCTCTCATCGAAAAAGGAAATATTACAACAACAAAAATGCCAACACTTCCGCGGCATTTAAGGAAGCGGCCTGTCAATCTTTTCCAATTGGTCAAAACATAACTGCATTGACAGAACGCCTGTGTGACATCAGGGCAGATGCTGT